TTTTTCTTCTTCTTTGTTTGTTTGTTTCGGTTTTTAACTACCGTTTGTGTCAATTTCGCTCAACACTTTCCTTATAATTGTTCCTACGGCTACAAACCTCAGATAGTAAATATTATTAACACTTATTGATATATTAATTATATTAATATTTTAATATACTTGCTTAGTCCATTCAATATAATTATTCAATTCTGATTGATTGAGAGCAGGTGACTGACTTTGAAAGCTTCAAGCAGTAAATTATCGATTTTTCTTGSACTGAAACGAAGTAGCGCAGGATTCTTGCTAGATTTGATAAAAATTTCGTTTCGGAAGAGTYCTTTTSTTGGCTTTCTTAAGTTKAACTTACTTGAATTACAGCTTATTCTCAAGATCATATATTGAACATTTATCTACTTTTTCAAAAAAGTTTCGCAATACTTGTAAATTAAAATGGAGGGCTTTTCCGGGAGGCGGGGTTTATCCGACTCCGACTCTACTCATATGTACATAGCCAAGCGGACGTACGGAGGTACATGACGTATATCAAAAATTTACTCGATGGGTTACCAGTTTTCCTTAATAAAGTATGGAAGGTGATAATAAAGATTGACAATCATYGTACTGGGAGCTCCGCTTTTAGGTAGTGCCTGACTATACTAAGTGTACTGACATGACATGACAAACACACTATTTCAGACCACGTAYCATTATCTTGATAATAAGATACTTTGTTTGAGTTGTATGAAATGAAAAGATACTATAGGGAATAACATGCAATACTAAACGGTGCATTATTTGAAAATATATTTTCCTAACACGACAGCAACAGCAACGATATCAACAGCAAATACAAAAATAAATAGGTAATAGCGAAGCTGTGCCAAGAGTCATACCTTAATATCGCGGACTATACCAAAGATAGATGGAATCATCTTGATTGACCAGCAGTCTTGCATCTTTRCTTTGTAACGTAGTCTAGAAAATCTGAAATCTGAAATAAAATGATGTCATAATACTTTTAATACAATGTCTTTTAGTATGGGTCCTAACTCCGACTAACATATCGACGTTTACTTAAATTGATAACATCTAATTTTAGGGGGAAAAAACAAAAAAATAGGGTTTCGAAGAGAAGGATCAACTAAAAAAGGACAGAAACAGGTCTTGAAACTTAAAAGGAACCAAATCTGTCTSACGACAGGAAGAAATATTAGCTGAATGGAAGGAAGGGAGGAAAGAAAGATAAATTTTGTTCAGGTTTATTTTTAAAATCGTTTAATTAACTATACGTACCAAAAACCTAGAAAAAAGTCGTTGAGCAATTTAAAAAGTGCTATTTTTACGCAATGAAAATGAGTTTGAACGTACAATAAAGGTATTCAATGCCTCATATCAAAAGGTCAGTTCAAACTTGCAACAGAAATGAAACATTGTTGTATTCAATGCCTCATATCAAAAGGTCAGTTCAAANTCAGTTCAAACTTGCAACAGAAATGAAACATTGTTGTATTCAATGCCTCATATCAAAAGGTCAGTTCAAACTTGCAACAGAAATGAAACATTGTTTTTTTCTGGGAAAAAAAATAATTGAGCATGCCAAGTAGATCCAGTTACTTTGAACTCATCATCGTACAGTGTCCAGCTGCACTTAAGTATTAGCTTGAAGGTCATCTAACACCTGGAATCCGTAAGATATATTTCTTTTGYTTGGAGATTTATCTTATATAATTAGCAAATCATTCAATAGAAAATAGCAGAACTTTTTTTTTAGTTGGACGACTGTTGTTAGACATTAAAGGCATTACTAAACAGGGTTGTGATAAATCTCTTCGCAAACGACTATACTGCCAGGACTGTACAAAAACAACTTCCGTGTTTCTTGAAACCTGAGTCTGTTTTCGTGACGGATGGTAAAATACTCGTCTGTGCAGGGATCATTGTCATCAAGCAACAAGTCCAGCAGTGTCGCATCTCTTCAGAACTGATTACAAGTTATTCAGGCATGAATCACTTGGTGGAATTCTTGCTAGGATTCTTGGTCCTGTTCCTGGCTTTTGAAGACAGCGAGGAAAGCCAACCGTATTCATGGGCGTAAGTTTTTTAGTCGATTTCAACACCGATAGAAGAATGTTGGTTTCATATCAGCTAGCAGAATCGTGTTTGCAAAACAAGGCCCTCATGTACCAGTCTAGTAGACAGGCATAAACATGTTGCTTTAGTTAGTAGCACTTCCTGTTGACTACCTTCTTCCATCCACCTTATCTTTATATCTATTAATGGTCAATTAATATAGAAAAGGAGAAACAAAGTGTAACAATAAATAAGCCCAGGTTTATATTCCGTACTTATTTATCTGTTGTGTTGCTCTCTAAAAGGACCGTTTCTTATTAGAAGGGGGCGTGGTGCTTATTAAGATTATCCTTCTCCTGAGACGCCTTTTTTCTCACTACCTACTCGTAATTAAGAATATTTCATGCAATGAGAGTAGAATAGAGAGACAACTTATCGTTGAATTTTTTGTTATTAGGGGTCACGTGTGTTCAAGAGGAACGTACGAAATGGCTTACACATCATACCGAACTTATCGAACGAGATACCAAGATTACCATACTAAATGTGGCTGGTGGRATTGGGGTCGCTGTAAGAAAACACGGTAAGAAAACGTTGTATCTGATTAAGGATACCTTACTGTAAGTAAGTACTGCATGAAAACAATTACATGAAATCATAATTAGAAAAAATCTATATATAATTTGATTCATGAATTTATTMATTTAGGTCTTGGCGTTCTTACTACTATGCATCCAGAACAAAATCAGTATACAAAACGTATTATTACTGTTGCTCAGGTTGGAGACAAAGTGGACGATACTGCTCGATACGTATGTGATATTATTAATATAATGTAATTCAATAACGTATGATACTTTGTTGSTCTTGGGAATTAAGTTAGATTCTTGGGGTACGCTGCATTTACAAGAGAAAAGAAATTACATAGCCTCCATGTTGGATCGATGGGACAAAAAAAAACCTTAAAAAAATTATCCAACATGGAGCCGACCAAGCTAGACACCATTTAATCTAAGAAAAGGGATATGATAGGCAGCTAAAAGTCTATTTTTCGTATCCAGCCATATGCAGCAGTGGGTGTGGTCACGGAAGATGTACATCACCAAATAGATGTGCCTGCAACAGTGGATGGCAAGGATACAGATGCCAATATGGTATGATGAAACGATTGATTGTTTTTTGTTGTCCATTAATGCATGTGAGAAAAGAGGAAAGAAAAGGAAAGGGAGCATGTTTTGTTACATTTTGTTACAAGTTTTTAATAGGGACAATGTACCTAAAAACGTGTATCGTTTGAACCAAGCAACTGTATCATTGCAGAATGTACACTAAAATTTTGGTATAGTAGGAGAAGCCGAGACAGAAGTGCACGGTCTTGCTACGCATTAGAAAGACTGATCTCTGTTAAATAAGTAGAAGGTGCGAAGCGACATGCAGGTAAGAAAATGACTTTTCCAACTGTATGTTTTCAGATGTGAATGAGTGCTCTCGTTCACTTGGTGGCTGTTCGCAAKTCTGCATCAACACCCCAGGATCTTATAAATGTGGCTGTAGAAAAGGTTATGTTTTAGAGGGCTCGAAGTTATGTAAAGGTAAGTGCACTTTACAAATATATAATAAAGACGATAAAGTTTTAATTATTAAAGCTTGTGTACTTTACTTTAGATAAAGATGAGTGTGCCACCAGAAATGGACAATGTRATCACATATGTGAAAATACACATGGCAGCTACAAATGTCGATGCTTTTTAGGATACAAACTGTTTCCAGATGGTAGAACGTGTTTAGGTAAGTATTGGGCATTCACATGAAGTTTACCACTTCAGTTGCCTCATCTTTCACCTTGAATGCAGTGAATTTTAATTATTAAAATAATGCTTACATGAGACCCTAGCAGAGAGAAGAGAGGAAGCCTCCACAGTAACAGCCGAGGCAGCTATACCACGCTATTTTCTAAATTGACTTTGGAAATTATTTTCTGCCCAATTACCAAAACGTATTTATTAGAAATTTTGATGCATCGATTTTTTTATAGCTTCAAACGAAATGGATTTTCCACCAAGTCTCGTCCCAACACCATCTGTCACATATAGAAACGACTACTYGTCCATGTTGGAAATGGTTTGCAGTTTTGACTTTCCTGCATGGAACAACGTATCATACCTTATTGAATGGTATGCGAACTCAATCAAACCTGTTAAKAACGAGACATGGTGCAYTGCAGAGGAGGGAGAAAGAACAAGCAATYACAGCAGCTGTACCARAAGGCAGAGTGTAATTACATTATYTCAACACTTTACAATTGGCGATACGGTGAGCTATTTTGATATAAAATGCGGATCAACAATGACTGCACATGCAACAAAAATACTCAAGCCAACATTTCTGAAGATCATAACAAACGGACTATTTTCAGGTTTGGTGCAAACTTTACATGAAGTTCTCGACAAGTTCCAAAAACAACTGGACAGAGAGTGGAATTCAGAGTAACCAATTCTATGTTGGTATTGAGGTAAATTTAACTTGTCATTATCTCATTATTTGTTCCTCAAGCTTGCTAATATTTGCTTCCTTTGGTTGGCTTCAAAAGATTTTGTAAGCTTCATGTTCAGTATATGAGGTTCAAAAACCTTCTTAATGTTCTTTTCCGACCTTTTGCTAAGTATCTTTTGGGAGCTAGTTTCATTTTTAATAACAGACCTTCTTAATTTTTAAGGATCTATACCAGCTATTTAACTAATTTACCTTGTTGGTATTTTCAGGTTTCCCCACGCCATGTCATCGTTGACCAATGTGAAGTTCTCGGCAGAACGAAGAACATTAGTGTCACCTTAAGACCAACTGTTCCTATTTTGCCTTTTATGAATCTCCATGKGACTGACAGTGTGATTGTGTATGTGATGATATCAGAGAAGACACAGGTTTCTGTCAACAAATGCAGGGTTGAATTAAAGACAGAAGACATCACCATCGGAAAAACAATAAATATTGGTGGAATCTGGGGGAAAGAAAATCATACCAACTTTTTCCATTTCAAACAAGAGACGTCCAGTCCAGACTGGTTTTCTGGTGTATATCAAATGCCTTCAATGAAGGTAAGCAATCWATGAAGATATTTCTATGATGGATATCTCTATTCATAATTTCACTTRCATTTAAAGGTCACAACGCATCCCAAACAATTCCAGTATGGGAATTGCTTTATTATGTCAGGAAAACATCTACGTACGTTTGACTCAAGGTAAGAGGTCCATATCTCAGATATCTGTTTTTACTTGCTATCAATATTGTATTATATGATGAAAATTTACTTTTCTTAAGAGGATTACCAAATTGCACAGTGCTACTATGATGTTCTACTGCCTTCTTCATTTGATTGATTCACCTTATATTGCATTTCGCAGAATCGTTTCTCTTAGACAACCCGGCTTTTTTGTGATGTACACAAATGAAGACCAAAAACTGCAGGTATATCAATTTCGTTAAATTCTTGTCTTTTCATCCTTTACTTGCTAATCCCTTAATATACAGTCATAATTAATTACTTAATTTAGCTAAAAAGCAACTGTTATTGGTCATGATTATTAAGATACACGTTGCATKTTTTCTCAGGTTTATATGCGCACTGTATCCACTAAAAATAAGTGGCTCGGTAACCCGTGTGGTGTTACAATACGTGAAGGGAAAAGTGTCCTAGTCTTGTCCATTTGCGACGAATTAATTTCTGAACAWATGTACCCTACGAAACGGCAAACTAGGAATCTGCATTTTTTTAAAAGAAGCCCTGGTGTTTTATCGAAGGGAATACAGAAAATCAAGAATACTAGGAGAGAGGGAGAGGTCAGTAATGTAACGAGACATATTTTGTAGCATGTGTATGATGTTTTCCTATTCAAATATTCATACTTTTTGCTTGAGCTCAGTAACATAATATTAATACATTAAAATCTTGGACTAATATCAGCGATAATAGAATACTGACCCGTCCGGTCCAAACAGGAGATGCTWATAGAGAACTAATATTAATAGTTAGTTAATAATATTGATATTAATAGAATTTTTTCCTCCGACAACGACAATGGTTCCTCCAAAGGGCCATGCACCAATTAGTAATTGGTTTGGTTAACACCTTCGCTGATCAAACATATTATTTACCTATTATCATTTTATAATAGATCCTACTATCGTCAGGTCTTAGAATAGTTGTCACGAGAATGGGTTTTGATGATTTGAGAATTTTGCTCAAAGCACCTATAACGGACAAAGGCAAAGTGTCAGGACTTTGTGGCAATTTCAACGGCAACAAATATGATGACTTCGTTGATATTTATCGAATTGACTTAGATTTGTTACGAGATAGGGACTTGAGGTAGGTCATATTGTTTTTTACATCATTAAAACATACGAAAGACGAAAAATAAACATCTCTTAATCATATAACGAAGAAAGCAAAAATCTTCAAGTTGAAAACATTAGAAAACAAGGATGCACACGAAAAAAAATCATCAATATTCCGGCCGCGAAATAGGCAGAATTTTCAGACGTTCTTTGGGTCAATCTTGATCTCCCCGAGTAAGAAAAGAGGGGTAGCAAGACCGACAATATGCATGAACGTCAGGTCTTCTGGATGGTGACGGTTATTACCRTTGGGAGTTGATCCCCAGCAACGCCTTGTCTGAATGGTCTGWGTCTCACATTATTTTCCATTGTTTTATAAGTATCCCTGAAGACAAGAGTTACTTTAAAGCCCTGCCAGAAGAAGAAGAAGAAAGCGAGCCACAAGAAAGATATTGCTTTTGTTCCATGACAAATCAAATTCAAACTAAAGTGGAATGTAACACGACAGAAACCCATTTTGCGAAGATCGACGAAAATGAAAGGCGTCTAGTCACCAAAAGTTTTAGGAACGCTTTTGGATCGTTTGGTAAATCAAGTGATTGCGCAAATAACGTGAGYACAGCTGAAAATGAAAATACAATCTATTTTAAACTTGTTTTGAGTAGGACTTATTAGGGTGGTTTAAACGAGGTTAAATTTACYGACAGCTCAACACCGAAGTTCATTGTGACTGACCAGTGTGAATACGAATAAAAGTTAAAAGTACCTATAACCCCTATATAAACCTTGTATAAACTTTGATATCTCCAAGATGCATCACTCAAATCATATAAAAACGTCATTTTAAAATTCAACTATCCAATTTATGTTTGATCAATTTTGAAAATAGGGGGTCAGGGGATATAAGCWTATTATATACCTGAAGCAAAGTTATCGTTATCGTCCCCAAAAACTTTTCCTGTAACTCTTCTCATAACCACAAGTCATTTGCTTTTCTCACAGTACTTACAAACAGACAAAAGGTGCCTGAAATATACTTTTATACTTTTMAAACAGAAACAAGCACCTTTTTGCAGATGATGCATAAGACGCCATGCTTCACAGTTTTTACAAGGTAAATCACTTCAATTTAAACTTAAAGTATTAGGTGCGGTTTTGTGCTTGCTAAATTATATGAWGATATGATAATCAGGTTTTTTAGTTGGATGCAAAATAGACACCTTTAACGTGAGCGTATTATGTAAGGGCAAATCCGGGGGGGACTCAATTCAATTAACTCAATTAACTCAATTAGCCCCCCTTCAAATCTTGGCTTGTTATATTCCAATTTTCAATTAGACCCTTTGTCATTCTCTACAGTATCATTCCATGTTACTAAAGAAAAGATCTGAAATGTGGACTCTTAAAAAATCAGCTGCAGTTTTTTCTACCTCGTATAGTTTGACATTTCGAAAGTTCATATTTATCATTTAATTATATTACATTTTCTCTTTTCAGTGACTCTTATTCAGCTTTAGCTGACAATGAGGAAAAAGTAATCGAAAATAGTTTTAACGAAATAGTTTTCTTTACTGATTACATTGATTTTAAGGRAAAAAGTTTGTAAACGTACGATGTAGTTGTTTCTTAGTATGAAATACATTACTTGCATTATTCTTTTAAGGTTTATGCGGAACAAACACGGGGGGAAACTGAGTAATCAAAATTACTGATTAATTTAATTGGAATTGCTGCCCGGCACCTACTTCAAGGGTTCAAGTGTCCAATCAAATATGCAACAACAAGCAAAAGCCAGGCATCAACATGTACGGATAATCACAAAGCGAAATTTACTCCTATCGAATATCAACTGATCTGTTGTGCTTTGAATGGGGTATCGAATGTTGTTTACGGTAGTAGTTTAGACCTAATGGTTATAGAGGTATTTCATTGTCTCATTGCATGAAATGTTTAATAGCGGTGTAAAATTAAAAAAATGAGTATTAAAGTACTAAAGAATTAAATCGCGTATTTGCTTTGTTTGTTTATTTTAATGTAAATAATGCATAGTAAAATGTCCAGGGGGGAGTACTACCATATATCCTATACAGATATGGATATGCAGTTACTCTAAAATACCACATCTAGGTGTTACAACCCTTTCTCTCTTTCTTGTTATACTCTTTAATTTTGATTGTGATTTTAAAACTTTACGCGTAAAGTTATCAATCCTGGAGCAAACTTATAAAAGCTCAAAATATCTTGATTGAAAATAAGGTTGGCAGTC